TTTGCCAAAGGATTAACAGTAACAAAGATAAAATTAAGGCTAATCTATTTTGCCTCTTGTGGATAGAATGTGGCAAAAGGATTGATGAATTTCAATGGAAACAAATGAAACTTGAACTATCTCATATTATGTTCCTATTATCACCGTCCACTGTTGCCTTGGTAATTTCAAATGGGCTGCCTAATATTTTTGGAAACAAAAATATTTGAAATAGAAAACTAACAGATGGGCAGAGCTATTGTGAATAAACAAGAGAAGAAAGAATAAAAAAGCTACTATACTTATAGTACATATAAATTCATATTAGAAATTAAAATGTAAAAAAGAATACTATGCTTATAACTGGATTTAAAACATAATTAGAATGCTTAAATACATAGAATATTAAATATAAAAATAAAATACAGAAAATCTAGACAGTTATGCTAAAGCATTTATAATACAAAAATAAAAGGGTTGAAATGATTATTAATTTTATGTAGTTTAAACATTTTCAAACATACAGAGAAAAAAAGTGAAAGTAGAACTCAAGTAATTAGTAGGTCAAAGAATAAGAAAGATTTAATATAATTCATTTTCCCTAAAATATAATGTAGAATTAGAAAACAGTGCTTAGTTTTAAAGAAGGAAACTATAAACCTAAACTTTAAATTTTCAGTTGACTTTCACTACTAAATAATGTACCCTTTACATAATACAGTTAATATGGAAAGAGTTAGAGAGTAAATGACTCAAGAAAGAGGGTCCATTCTAATGTACTGGTGATGTTCAGTAAACGGACAATCTATTGAGCTGTACAAGGGCCATGAAGAGCACTCTAAATGGGGACCCACCGTTTAAAGAGTAGAAGGCAAAGTAGTTACCCTGGACAAGTTTTGGTGAGTAGCCTGACTTTGATCTTGGATACAGTACTTGCAAATATAATTATGATAATGATTTAAGAACATTCAAAGATAGGGTTACATAATAGGTTGTATTTGAAAGGCATAGATCTTGCTATACTACAATAGTAGCTCTTTTGAGATAACAGAGAGTTGATAAACCGAGCTGGGAAGATAGCATCTATCTACATTTTAACAATGCTTTCAATCCTGGCTCTATATTAGCATACTGAGAAATTAAGAGATGAACTGTATTAATGATATGATAGCGTGAATTACTAGTAGCTTATAGATTGGAAATTAATGATTATTATTCTTTCAGATACAGAAATATATACACATAACATATAGATTAGCTCAGATTTTAATTGCAGCTAGGTTAATTATATAAGGAAAATAAGTGTAGTTTATACATTAATCATTTTCAGAAAGGTCAACTTAGTAACATTCAAGTCTCTAGGCAATCCATAAGAAAAAAATGTTGAAAGTACCGTATTTTCCAGCATATAAGACGACCTCCTAATATATATATATATTTTTTTTACAGTTAAAACATAGGTTTAGGCCTATATTCGCTGTGTAAGACTACCCCCCACTTCCGAGGCAACACCAGTTCTTTTTTTAATAGACCACCTCTCTGATTCTGGTCAATCTGAGCAGGCTTTTTACTAGAACACAGTGTAGCTTAGGGTACAGAACATGTATAATTTGCATGCATAAAAAGCCTGCTTGGATTGGCCAGAGTCAGAGAGGCGGTCTATTAAAAAAAGAACTGGTGTTGCCTCGGAAGTGGGGGGTAGTCTTATACAGCGAATATAGGCCTAAACCTATGTTTTAACTGTAAAATTAGGGGGTCGACTTATACGCCGGAAAATGGTAAACAACATCAAAGAATGTAACCAGTGATTTACTTTTTCTTTTACCTACAAAGTATAAGCAAAGGAAAACTACTGAATGAAACACGCTTTATCTTTAAAAATTATTGTCATTATGTTATTTTACCAGAATTTTCCTTCAACATTTATAGTACTAATTCTCTTACATTTTTTGTATGCACAGAAAATTCAGTGAGCTCAGATAAAGACTTGATAAATCCATACTAGCAACATTGATAATATTTTGAAATTCAATGGTTTCTTTTTGAATGGCTGTAATTCTTTTGAGAAACAGACTAAGCTAGTGAGGTCCTGGTCTTAGAAAAGGGACATAACAGAGTTGGGTTACAGTCTCAACCAGGTTATTTGGGATAAACTACAAGCTCAAGATAATTTATGTAGGCATGGATTTAAAGAAAGAAGAGTGAACTGATCATTTATTCATTCATGTAATAAACAAGAACTGAATATCTACTATGTGCTAGGCATTGTGGATACTAAATTCTATATAATCCTAGAGACCACACTAGTTAGGATAACAGACTTGAAACAGCTATGATTGGAGGATGTGCTTTTTTAATAACTCTCAGATCAGAGACTAAGTGCAAGATCTGTATGACTTAGTAAAAGTTTAAGTGAAAAAATACTTTCAAAAAAATTAAAACACAACATTCAAGTATTTCCGGTTACTTAAGAAAGCCTTAACAAAATATCCTTTTAAAGATAGTTACCGGTAGAAACAATTTAATGAAGGAAAAAAAAAAGAGAACATTAGAAATATCAATGTCACCATTAAAACTTTGTTAGATTTCTTTGCATAAATGAGGGATTTTGAAGTGTTTGAAACATGTCTTTCATTAGGGCATGTGTGTGTGTGTGTGTGTGTGTGTGTGTGTGTATATATATATATATATATATATATATATATATATAATAAAGTACCATCCTTTTCCTACTGATTATGACTCCAATTAAGATGTGAATTAATGGGATTAGACTAAATAACTATTGCAAGATATATTCACTATGTTGGTTGGTAATAAGTACTACACTTGTAATTTACAATACCACAGTGTTTTATAAGGGCTATTAGTATGTTATTAGTAAGTTTCATTGATCATTATACCACATAACATTGGAGCACTCAAAAATTATAATTTTCTCAGACTATTTTGCATCTAGTAGTATATCTATTTGTACTATGGGTGACCATAAACATAACTAAAATCAGATAGACTGTTTCCTTAACAGGGCCAAAATGTACACTCAGCAAGCCAAAAGAAGAGTTTTATACTTAGGATTTTATACTATTGGAATTCACTTGTTTTCTAAACCATAAAATTAGTTATCTAGAACAAGAACATAAAGCTACGACTTATGGGGGCAAAAAAGGTAAGAACTCTGCACATTTATATATATATAAATTAGTCCACATGTAGTTTGAATCTATGTATTTGTAGGGTTCTGCCACTTAAATCCACACAGGTTGGTTATGCTATCTTCTTCCTTTTTTTGATTTGTTGATTTGCTTTGGGGGCATGGCTCTCATGGAATACTGCTTGTAATCATTCTAACTTCAACATTTTAGGTCCTATTGGTTCTCAGCTCACATGTGAAAGTTGGGAATTAAAAAATGTTTCTGGCATAATACATGACAGATATGTATTATGGTAAAAATTTCAATTTTCAGATTTAGACAAGGGCACTCAAAGCCAATATTCAGAACACATTATCAGGCTTCAACTTCTTGAAAGCTCACAGAGGAAATAGTTGCTCTGCTAATTAGCCAGTAAAGAGACATGATTGCAGTCCAACTCAGAGGGAAAGCTTTGCCTGGATCTTGCTTTAAGCACTGTAATTTAGAACAGTTATCTATAAAGCCTAAGTGAAGTAAAGAACACAACATATTCACTTACATAAGTCACAGCAAACTAAAGAGAAAATAAAAATGTTTAGAGGAGATTAAAATGAGTTAGATTTCTTTGCAGAATATCTTTGGATGGTGGTTTCAATATAATTAAAAGCATATATTTAATCTAAAAAACTATGACATGAATTTCTTAATTTGAATTATGACTATTTCTGACATTTCATAGTTTATTGTTTCCTCTTAAGAGCTTTTTTACTTAAAGTGTTTTTTTGTTTGTTTGTTTTTTGTCATGGGGATTCTTCTTCATCACTAGCAAAATGTCAAAATGTACAGATAAGTTTGATCCATTTCTATGACTGGTTTTGATAATTTAAGTATAAGGATAAAAGTCAGAAGGAAACAAACCAACACCAGCTCTACTTTGTAACTTTATATCTTCCTAGTTTCCCCAGAATATATATTAGGATGCTAATAAACTAACATTTATGTTAACAAACAATAATTAGTGTCCAAGATATTAAGTATAGTGTGATACTGTATCATAGTTTAGGCTCATGCAGTAGCACAAGGTACCCCCTAATTTCATTAAATTTTATGGTTTACCTTACCTAATAACAGACAAACATGTAAACTGACCGTACCTCTGCTACGCCCACAGCCTATCAGAGTGAGTATGCAAATCAACCCAACAAAGATGGCGGTTAATTTGCAGACATATCTGGGTCCTGGGAACATCCTCAGACCCAGGTCACTCTGAGCCGGCCATCAGAGAAGTAGGGGGCCTCCTGCCCAAGCCTAAAGCCTCGGGCAGGGGCAGAGCCGGTGATTGGAGCAGTGGGGGCCTCTTGCTCAAGCCTAAAGCCTCAGGCCGAGCCAGCAATCAGAGGGGCGGCAGGGCCCCCTGCCCAAGCCTGAGATCAGAGGAAAGGGGGAAAAATAATGGAAACATAATCTCAGGTGAGGATATAAAAAATAAAGAAATGTCATATCCTATGAAAGACACATCTTGAAAATGCCTAAAGAAAGTTGTCATTTTTTCATGGTGAAGGGACTGGAGTCCGTGTTGATGAAAATACCTTGGTGACTGTGGTGACTGGCAGTGGCTGCAGCAGTGGGGTGATGGGGCTGGCGCCTTCCCCTGATCAGCCCAGTCACCTCCCAAAAAGGGAGGCCAGACTGCAGCCTAAGCCTTCAGCAGGACATCCCCTGAGGGATCCCAGTATGGGAGAGGGGGCAGGTTGGGCTGAGGGACCCTTCCCCAGTGCAGGAATTTCATGCACCAGGCCCCCTAGTTCTTAAATAAAGAAAAACATGTCCAGTAGCAATCCCTCATTATAATGAATGCTTTAACACAAAATGAATATATGCCTTTACCTTCCTCCTTTCTTCTCTTTGCTTCTTCTTCATTTCTTTCTTTGGCTCTCAATGCTTCATCAGCTTTTGCTGAAATAAAAACAAAAAAAATTTCTGCACTTATTTTATGTCTGTATCATAAGTGAAAATATTGGGGAAAGGGAAAAGAAATTCCTTATATATTTTTTGTGAAGTTGTCAGAAGAAAAAAAAAACTGGCTGAAAATCTGAAATATACCATTTACAATACTTTTTCAGAATTTTAGAATATTTACTTCGAAACTTTGAAGCTTAGTTCAAGCTAATTTCTGTATAAAAAGGCAAATGAATTTAAGCAGCATGAGTTTAAACAATGGCATATGAACTGGGGAAAGCTTTTGGTCATCTGATTTGTCAGTACAGTGCATCTGTTTAAACTTCAGAGAAAAGTTCTTAAGCTACAATTCACATTTTAAATATGAGAAGCTTACAGTATCTTTGGAACAGTATCAAATTAGGTAGCATATTATTTTTTCCCCATTGCATATCATAGTAGCAGTTCTTTATTCATGTTATGACAGCATTTGGTAAAAAGAATCTTTTTCCCTCTAGAAGCCTCTTCCCTTATTACTTAATTATCTACTAGTTGCTCAACTGCAGGGGTTTTCAAACACTTTACTACAGATGTTAAAGAAGATTAAAAATATACAGCACAGTAACAAGGGACTATCAATATACTCTGTAAATTAATTAAATTTCTGTTCTAGCACATCATTTATTCCAAAGCATTAACGTCTCAAAGGAGCGATTCTCCTTTATTGCCGTCTCACTGCCTGATGAGTGAACTAAGTGAAAATAAGTCTCTAATAGCATTATAGTTGATGAAATATTAAGTTAAAAAAGTATTGCCTTGTCAAAAGAAAAAGAATCAAACTGTGCCAGCATTAAACTTTGGATAAGCCTTTATTATAATAATAACAGCAATGTAAACTGTGATTTAAAAAATAAACACACTTGCTCTTCAGTTTCTGCTGCATATCTTTTTCCTATGTAAAAATCAACATATCCTTCAGAAGTATAAAACCTGGCTTAAAAGGGGAATTTAAAGAAAATACACATCACATACATAACTATTTTTCTTCACCATTAATATCGACACTTTCTTAAAATATAAAACTTATATAATGGTGTTGTGAAGTGCTATATCCAATTACATAGACATCTGTTTCCATTTACAAGCTTTAATACATACTTAGGCTGCATTTAAAGTCATGAAATATTAAAACTTTTATGCCACTCTGTATCACTGCAAGAATCTATTAAATTAGATAATAAAAACAAACCACCAGTAACTCTAAAGACTTTTACTTCATTTACACTTTATTCTCCCTAGTAGAAGGACAAGGATAATAGAAATTCCATTTAAATTCAATTTTGGTTATATGTGTAATTGTAGATATACCCCTTGAGTCATGTAAAATGCTCAGCTTATGTTTCTTTCAAATTATCCCGCTCAGATTCACATTCTACTCCTTACAACCATCTTCAATATGTATTAGCGGAGCTCATTAAACTGAAATTTAATAATGCAAACATCAGGTGGATTTCAAGAACCTCCATTAACAATGTAAGATGGATTGCTTATATATAGCTCTTGGGCCAACTGGGCACAATTTAAATTCAATAAACTACCCTGCCTAAATCTGATTTATCTATTTCACTATGCCGGTTTGTCCTCTCTTACTGATTTGTTGTTATACATGGACAATTCATTGGAATATTGTTTTAGATGTTTTTTTTAAAACTGCAAATGGCTCTTGTGCTGTGGTTAAATATTTTATGTAATTGAACTTTATGCTGTCAATCAAGATTCCCAAGATTGTGCATATGTGTATGTTTATATAAAAAACTTTGACTTATATCAAAATTGCATAGCTAATTAATTTAAAAAGCACACATTTGAGAATTTTATTAATAATCAGTGTGTTTTCTACAAAGAATATAAATAAATTCAGTTGAGGAAAATTAACTTATTCAAATAGAGACATTAGGATAAGCTCATTGATTATTAAGGGACTGGGGAAGAAACATTTTCTTTCTTTGTGTCTGCTTTATTATATTATTATTTAAATGGGATTAGGGACAAATGTATGATCATTCATACATGATTTAGTTTATCGTAATTTAAAAAATATTCTCTAAAAGGCGGCAATTCCATTTTCTAAATGATGATACTAAATCTCATTAGATAAAACAAAAAAACAATACTAAAATGGTAAGACCTATTTTTATTTTTTATTTTTTATGATTCCTGATCATAACCTTTAGATTTTACATTTACCAAAAGTACTTACATCTTCCACTAACCTGGTTCACAACTCTGGCCCCTTGGCTCTCCCAACCCACCCCACCCACCCCCAGGCTAATAGTACCCTCTGGGATTTGCTTCTTTCCCTAGCCCAAGGCAACCATTTGAATTCCATACTCATACCACCCTTATTTTCCTTACTCCTTTGTTGTTTTGCCAATCTGTTACCAATACATCTGACCAATTTTTCCAATTTTTGCTGCAGAGGCAGCATACAATATGGTATACTAATGTTACTGGTTTTACCAATGATTTAGAATTTAACATGGATCCTTCCTTGTTGTTCTTCCTTAGTCAGCATCAGTGGTTGGTTTACGTGCTCATTTCCTACAAATTACAATGTTGTTGTTGTTTGTTTGTTTTTTGCTATACAAGTGCCAATAACCTCATACCAGCTCCACCAAGGCACTTACTTTTTTCTCAGCCTCACCCCCATTCACCTCTATATTTTAACTAATCCTTACTTCTTTTTTTCCTTGAATGGAGAGTAAATCCATTCCCCTGTACTTTAGAATCTATTCCTTTCCATTTTCTTTAGGGTTCTTTCTGCCTTTTAAGATTCACTCAATCTTGTCTATGATTAGACTATAAATACCTTCAAGGTTAACTCTTCTTTCAACCAAGTTGCTGCCTCTTCTCGATTCCGATAGATTTTGTCCGCACAGTTTTTGCTAGAGGCCCTACAAACTCTGCAATAGCCAAATTTAATAGTTACCTCCATTTTATCTTGTTACTGTCTCTCCTTTGAAAAAACAACAGCTAATCAGCCATATCTTTATCAAACCCAAACTCTTTAGATACCATTTAAAGCCCCTCTCAGCCTGACTTCAATGTAACTTCCAGCTTCACTACTCACCACTCTTCTTTCCTTACTTCAAGGACACATGGCCTGGCTGGGTCATACTGCCTTTGGTTTGTATTATCATGCCTTTGTTCTTACTGGGGTCCCTACCTCACCTTTTCACTGAGAAAACGTCACTAGAAAGTTCGTTCGATAGCACGCTCTCCTTTGAAACTGTTGCTGATCAATGCCCTTTGTCCCCAAGTGGCTCTGACTGCTCTCTCCTTGCTTCTTAGAAACTTTAATACCTTCCTTATGAAATGTTTACACTTTATTTCTTCATTACAGAAATATCCAAATCCTAGAGAGCTGAGCACATGAGTATGAGTGACAGAAATTGTTAGCATTCTCGTTTTCATGAGTGTTTAGCCAGACTACATGTTCTTATTTCCTTGAAGTTAAGCATGGCCATTTACTGAGTTCAATCCAATGGAATGGGAACATATGTGATGTGTATCATGTTTTCATATCTGGCTTATAAAAAACTCCCATGTATTCCTCATTTTCTTTCCCCATTCATTGGCTGAACAAAGGATCTATGGATGGTGAACCACAAGATAAAAGAAATCTGGGCCACTGAATTTATATAAGGAGCAGAAATGCTTTCCTGATAACTTGTCTTACACAACATATATTTTTTTTGTTTTAAGATGCTGAAATTTGGGGGTTAACAGTAAGTGCTCAATAAATATTTCCTAAATAAGTGAATAAAAAGGACTTGGAAAGTTAACACAAATATTATGTTGTTCCTTCTAAAGTGAAGTCTCCTTTCAGAAAAGGCCATTCCATTTGAATGACGGAGACTAGACCAGCTGTAGAGGTGATGTGGGTGAAGTAGGGGACTATTCAGTATGTAGCATCAAGGGCTATTATGAGAACTTATTCCCATCTTTACTTAAAAATTCCACTTTTTAGATTATTGTGGCTGTTTGCTTAAGTCAGATTTTAAATAATTTGTGGAAGATCTTTACATGCCCTATGAGAGAAAATAAGTAAGTCAAGAATTGGGGAAAAAAAAAAAGACTGATAAGTTATTCAATACATTCCCTACTTTCAGAAAGGACTATATTAATATTCTCAGAGAAAATCTTTTAAAAAGTGTTTAACTTTTCTTCTCTGTGAAAATCTCACCTGGAAGTTCTTTTCCATATGTAGCCCAATCTCTAAAATTGTACCAACTTGAGTAGACCAGAAATGTTGAAGAATTCTTAAAAAATAGCAAGCAGGCGGGTTCAAATCTATGGAAAAAATGGTTAGAGGAAATCACAGCCCAATCATATTTGGAAGACTTACACAGAAATGGGAGAAACTCCAAGGGCACTTTAATTTTAGAGTCAGTAGAAACCAAGCACAGGAGGTAGGCCTGCCTGGGGCAAATGTTATAGAGGGAATTATGAATGGAGCAGCTGAACAATGGCACCTCCCTGGCAGGGTAAATAGGGTAGAGCTATTACTTGAACCTTTAACACAGGTTAAAGCAGTGCTTGTAGGAGGTACTAAACCCAGTGAGGCGAGGGCTGGTCACTACAAATGCCTAAAGGGCTGACAAGCTACGTCTTTCCCTGAAAATAAGACATCCTCCAAAAATAAGACCTACTTACAGGTTTCCTTCTGAGTGAAATATAAGGCATCCCCTGAAAATAAGACCCTCCCACCCCAGGCTCTGTCTCAGAATGAAAGTTAATTTCACAAGAAATTCACCAGGAAATTCAGGAATTGGATTGTTATGATGATGTTCCAGAAGATGACATGATTGTCATTGAATAAATGAGTAAATTCTTGATACTGTAGAATTCACAGTTGGTCTGGTTTGTGTTGACAACTACCGTACTACCGTACCATATACAGGTAATAAATTTCCTTTATTTTCATTTAACAATAAATGTGTACTGTATTCTTCTTC